GACTTTTTTTTTTTTTTAACTTAACATGGAATCCAGCATTCGGCACAGGACCCAGGACACATACAGGCACCACGTTTACATTGGTTAAACAGATGAACAGAGTAAACTATTAGATAAAAACCGCTTCCACTACCAGATTGCTTCACAAGAGGCATTTCTCCCTCCTGCTGCGCATGGCGGAGGGGGGGGCTGCACCGGGCCGGGGGCGTGGGGAGCAGGGGCCGCAGGAAGCCGTCTTGCATATAGTTCAGTGGCCTCAACCCCAGCCTTAAAGGGCCACTCCGAAACGTCCCTGCAACAGACCTGGCCCAGAACAGGTGGGCCTGGACATCTGGGAAGTGACCAGGGATTTACAGAGGTGGCAGCTGGCCTGGCTGTCTCCAAACTGCACCGACGGTCCCTTCGCTGGTGGGAGTTCTGCCTGGGCCCAGCTTTGGGGAGACGCCTGGAGAACTCCTGGCACACAAGTGCCAAGCCCTGACCGGGAACTTCCTGCCAGCACAGGGTGGCCCCGTCGGGAGAGCACCAGGCCTTTCCACCGGGGACCTCCGACAACCTTCTTTGAAACAAAGTCTTTTTAAAAATAGCTTCAAAAGTAGCCATTCAATTAAAAAAAAATCTGCAGAAAAAAAAATACAAAACATGGTGAAAGTGGGTACAAAGTTCAGTAGAACTTGGAGGGAGTTAGGCCAAGCATTGCTTGTTTTTCCTCTTAGCTTCCACGTGGATGACCTTTTGCCTTTGTGGGAAACTGGCCTTGAGTCCACCCATGGAGGAGAAGACGGTCAGAAAGGGAGAGAGAAGGGTCCCTCACCACCATCAATGAGAGTAACTCATGGTACCACATGTCAGGCGGCGTCAGGCAAGGACGAGGCACTACACACACAACCCAAGACTCTCTGAGCCTCACAGAGACCCTCAGTGTCAGGGAGGACAGGTGGCTGGCCCAAGGTCATGATCATGCAGGTGGTCAGGGGGTGGGACCTACACCCACCCAAAGGCCCCTCGGTCGGGCACAGGCCGGCCTGCGTGACTCTGTAATCCACACAACCGTCTCACCCATATCACCCGGATGCTCAGGCTACGCCCACGGGCGGGCCAGCCAGGTTTTCTCATCAGCACATCGCCTCCACCATGGGAACCATCAACAATACCACACCCGCCCCCCGAAGAGGGGCCCCCCACAGGCCAGGCTCAGGGTCTTGCCCCCCTCCCTGGCTCCATCCCTCTGCACATCTTGAAGAAGACTCCTCCTTACTGGGATTAATCCTATTTTGATTAATCCTCTTTCTTTCTTGTGGCTTTCCCTGAAGCAGAACAACTCGTCTGGAGGCTCCAGCCCCGGGAATTTTCTAATAAGCTGTCCAAACCCAGAGATCTGACCGCATGCCAACGACGAGATCTGAGGGCGGGGTGCCTGACAAATGACCCCACTTCTCAGGGGTCAACCAGTTTGCTCCGTCTGAGGGTCAAACCCTAACACTGGCCTGGCTAGATGCCCCACAAACATCTGACCTGGCTCTTAGTGTGGGAATAAAGGAGAAACTCTTGACAGCATGCTGCAAATTTACCATGAACGATCAGAAGCACAATGTAAATGGAGTTAGCCTGTGAGTCTGAGGACTCTTATTCTTGGATTTGGAAACCATCAGCTAATCGATCTCTTCACTTTGCAAAGGAGGAAATGGGGGCCCAGAGACTTCAGCGACCTGCCTAAGGTTGCACAGCAGATGCTCTATCTCGGGACAGAACCTAGGCTTTCTGACTCCCTCACGGCTTTGTTCCATTCACTGGGAGGGTGACCACTGGTCACCAGTCTGATGAAGAGCGGGCAGGAGCATTCCTGTTACGTGCACATGCTCCCCTGGTGTGCCCAGCGTGTGGGAAGAATGAGACAGGGCCCCGAGGCACTCTTTTGAAGTCTAAGTATTAGCATTTAGAAAGTTTAATGAAACCTACTACTTGGAGCAAAATTCATTTTAAGTTAACCTTCATCATAAAGTTAATTAAGTTTCAACAAAATCAAATTAACTTCAGCTCTGTTCTCATTGGTCCCCACTCTAGGGTGAGTTTTCCAACAACGTGCCAGCTGGTGTGGCTCAGTGGTTGAGTATCGACCAGGAAGGAGGTCATGGTTCAATTCCTGGTCAGGGCACAGGCAGTGGTCGGCAAACCCATTAGTCAACAGAGCCAAATATCAACAGTACAACGATGGAAATTTCTTTTCAGAGCCAAATTTTTTAAACTTAAATTATATAGGTAGGTACATTGATATTAACTTGATTAGGGTACTCCTAAGCTGGCCTTTGCTAAAAACTCAAGGGGCCAAAGAGCCGCAGTTTGCCGACCGCTGTTCTAAGGAAAATGGGGTCCTCTGAGGAATTCCAGGTCAAGACCAAAAGGGGAGGGACTCGTGGAGGAAAAGGCAGAGCGGTAAGGGACTGACAGCTGACCACTGAAACCAGATAAAACAGAGAAGACCAGATCCTGCTGCTCTGGCCCAAACATTTGCCCGGCCAGACACGAGAAAAATGGAAAGAACTCTCATGAGCAGCTCATGCGCTTGATTTGGAAATGCCGAAAAGCAACAACAACAACAACATTCACCCCTGATCCTCACAACCATATTCTCTCCTGGGGCCCCGCCTGGCACACAACCACTCGCATCGCCTGCCAGGCGGAGGCAGCGCCCAGGACGGCGAGGGAGCCAGGAGCCGCTGCCAGCGGGGCCATCTGCTCACCAATTCCCACAGTCTGAGCGGCGCGGCTTCCAAAAGGGGATGGCCGGGGGCCGGCCGCCGTCTGCACACGCAGAGCCGGGGAGAGAGCCGGGGAACGGGCCTGCACTGCTCTGCACCGTCAGCTTCCTTCTGGGCGGGAGCTGAACGGTTCCTGAGTTTTCCAGACGGCCTTCAGAGAAACTGTCGGAATGGCAACACTGGTTCTGCACGTGTGCGTTGCCAGCTGTGTCCTAGGGGGATGCAGCCAGGTAAGGGGTGCAGAGCACGCAGTGGTGGAACTCCTCAGAGCCGGTCCAGCGTGACCCAACAGACACGACTCCTGCAGGGGGTCGGCCCCTCTAGTTTGATGCCGTGAACCAACTGACCTGAGCAGCATCGTGGGAAGACCAACCCCAGGCATGGCTCCCCAAGCCCGCCGTGGACCTGACTCTGGGAGAGGAGTCCCTGCCATCTACTGATAACCCTGCAAGGCTGTCCTTTACCTCTGTCTTAGATGGACAGCTGAGACCCACAGAGGCCCGCTGCATGAATTCGTGCATGGGTGGGGTCCGGCCAGCCTGGCCAGGGGGAGGGGACATGGGCCTGCCTGCTGGTTGAACTCCTGGTCGAGGGGATAATTTACATATTAGCCTTTTATTATATAGGCTATGCACTGAGTGGCCAGATTATTATGTGTTTGGAGATCATCATCATCTGGCCACTCAGCGTGTATCATGGGGCTTCCTTTCCTCACGAGTTCCTCTCCAGCTCCAAACGGTGAAGAGAACGGGGCCTTCTATGGCCAGAAGGGCAAATACATATTTTCACATCATAGCTGTTTTAAATATATATATTTAAGTACATATATTTGTTCTTTTAAATATATAGATTTCAGAGAAGAAGGGAGAAGGAGAGGGAGAAAGAAATCACAAAACACTACGCTATCCGCCAAAGAAGAGCAATGAAAGAAAACCAAAAATAGCTCTTTGCCCCGAAGACTATCCCAGTGAGAGATCTCTGTCCTGGCCCAGAGCCCCGAGGAAAGGAATGGGGGTAAAAGGGGGAAAGAGATTTTGACTCTAGGTCAGGGCTAGAGGGAGGCTGGGGCAGGGACCCGGGCGCCTGCTGCTGCTCAGAAGGCCCCGCACGGTGGTCACAGTGACAGCCCTTCTCCCAGTGCTGCCCCTCCACAGACCACGCCTCCCTCCCTGCCTCCGAGCCTCTGCACCACGGCCCGTGACTGCCCCCACTTGGGAACCTGGTTGGCTCCAGCCTGCGGGCCCTGGCCAAGACCCTGAGCTACCAAAAACACCATGTCAAAGAGTCAACGTGTCACCGTCGCTGGTCTTTCCTGGAGCATCACGTAGAAACGAGAGCCCAGCGATGGAGAGATGGCATCTCTGTGATTTCTGCAGGCTGTGGTTTGCCCTACAGGCATAGGATGTTTACAAGTCACGTGTGCCACAATAAGAGCATTTTCCTTCCTTTCCCTCAAACACGCAGAAGCTTCACCCACGGCCTGAGCATACTCCTGTTCGGGTGTTAACCGGGGAACGTCCTGCTTCTGATCCCAGATTTCCTTTTCCAATTCATTTCCTCCTCCTCACAAGATGAAACTTTTTTTTTTTTTAAAGGACAATGTCCCTGAAATGTTTACGCCTCTGAACTGAAAGAGTCAGAGTTTAAGAATGGTTCCCTGGCACACAAGCTTACATTATATAACCAAGCGCTGGATCTTCTGCAAACCAGCAAAATAGCCAAAGGGGAAAACCTTAATTTGGGAGGCAAAGGCAAACAAAAATGCTTTTGGTGTCTACTATGGAATAAAGCAACGGAGGAGTATGGATAGCTTCAGGGATTTTTGTAATGAGCATAGCTAAGGAATTCTCACAAGCACCGAAAAAACAACAACAAAAACACACACCTTGAATTAATAAACTTAGAGGGCTGAATGTCTGTTTCAAATCAGCCATGTCCTTACCTCAAAAGAAAGATCCTCCCAAAAGCAGGATAGAAATGTGAGAGTATATCACATGATTTTTTTTTTTAAGCCAAGGGGAAAGTATGTAATGGTAAAGCAAGGGCGAGGATAGTGGCAATTCTTTTCCTTCTTTTCTAAACATTATGTAATGCTGGTAGAACTGTTTATAATTAAGGTGCTACTAAAAAGAAAAATAATGTATCCTATTTTGAGGGTTCTCCATTTTGGACAAAAAAACAACAAAGTGTATTTCTTACCTGCTTGAAAGAAGACTTCAGAAGGAAAACGAAAAGCCTTACCTGAGGTTTAACTTGCGATCTTCATCGCTGCCAGCCTCCAGCTACAGAGAAGAGAGAGAAAGTCAAATCGCAGACAGAGCACCTAGCCTGCGACACGAGTCCCACGCTCTCTGCTCTGGTGTCTGAAGAAGAGACGGACAGACGTCCAGGAAACCTGGCAATTTCTAAACAGCCGCACCCTTTCCTCGCCAAGCCTGCTCGCTGTTCCTCGGGGTCATTCCCACGGAGGAATTCACAAGTTCCCCAATGTTTACCCACATTCCTTCCACGGCGCCTTGGATCAATATCTGCTAGCGGAACGTTGCTATCTGGCATTGCTGCGCAAGGCCCTCTGCAGCCCTCCGTTCTCAACTTTCCTGGGAGGGGTGGGTGGTGGATCTTATCCTGTTTTTCTGTTTTAAGGGAGGGGGGCTGTGTTTTCAGAGAATCCATTTCCTCCTTCAAGCGAGGCCGGTGGTCTGCAAACTCATTAGTCAACAGAGCCAAATATCAACAATACGACGACTGAAATTTCTTTTGAGAGCCAAATTTTTTTAAACTTAAACTATATAGGTAGGTACATTGTTATTCACTTAATTAGGGTATGCCTAAGCTGGCCTTTGCTAGAAACTCAAGGGTCCAAAGAGCTGCAGTTTGCCGACCACTGAGCTAGGCCATAACTGAGTGATCAATACCGTTCTAAGCCTCAACAGACAGGTTTTAAAAAACAACCAACCCACTCTAGGCAAGTCTTTTCACAGTGAACGGTGGCCAGGATCAGGCTGTGTCTGTGGGTCTGAAAAGCTCTTGGTGATCCTCAAAAAGGCTTACTTGTTGAATATAAAACCTTCTGGGCGATTGATTGATGTATATACATGAAAGAAGGGAACATTTAATATTTCCTAAAAGTTCAAAGGCCAAGAGGGGAGGCTCCAAAAGTAACCATGATTAAGCCCCAACTGTAATTTTTCTTTCTCCCCACTCCCACCCCCCAATCTCACGTTCAAGGAGAGAACTGAAATGAGAATACACACACACTCACACACACACACACACACACACACACACACATATCAAACAACAGCACCATTGTAGGGAGGGGCCTGGGCAGCCAGGGACACACGCCGGAGGGTTCTGGAGCCCCTTCATTTTATTAACTGTATTTATTAAGTATATAGAAGTAGGCACAGGCATGCACTGGTGGCAAGTTCTCACACTCCCTGCTCCATACGGAAGCAGCAGACAAATCAAGGAGCGCTCTGCTGGCAGCAGGGCTGTGAGGTTGGGTTTCGAAGTGAAGCATAAGCCAAACCGCTACCACCACCACCACCACCACCACCACCACCACCACCACGGGCTTCGGAGAGAAGGCTGGGTCTGACAATGTTTCCAGAAGGAGACCCTAGGCAATGGCTGGAGCCTTGTTGTGGAGGGTGCTACTGGCATCTAGTGGGTAGAGGACAGAGTGCTACTGAACAGCCTACAATGCGCGAGACAGCCAGCCCCTCACAACCAAGATTTCTCAGGCCCTGCGCTCACCGGTTTGGCTCAGTGGATAGAGTCTCGGCCTGAGAACTAAAAGGTCCCAGGTTCGATTCCTGCCAAGGGCATGTACCTTGGTTGCGGGCCCATCCCCAATAGGGGGTGTGCAGGAGGCAGTGGATCGATGTTTCTAACTCTCTATCCCTCTCCCTTTTTCTCTTTAAAAAAAAAAAATCAGTAAAATATATTTTTAAAAAAAGAATTCTCAGGCCCCAATGCCAGCAGTGCCAACGTACAGAAATCCTGACCGAACCTCCCCAAACAAAACTGGAGATTTGCCCGTGAAAATTAGTCATTGTGAATGTCTGTCAAGCATAACGTGATGATCCATTCCTGAAGGTTATTTGATTTATCTGCTCTGGTGCTCTCTACCTGTCCTCACGGAGGAATGAGACGAGGTGAACCTGAAAATGCTGTGAGTGAGATAGTGAAAGGTGGGGGTGGGAGGAGAGAAAACAATCAAAAGTGTGAGGAGCGTTGCTCGGCTTGCCAGGCCGCGACCTCCCTCCGTTCCCACGCCACTCGGCAGCACAGGCTGGACCAGGAAACAGCTGCCCTGCGTCTCTCTCACTCAAAGAAGAATTCTGGTGAATGAGGAAGTGATCTGGGGGTAGATACTTCAAGACCATTGAATTCTCTCTCTCTTTCTCTCTGATTCTAGGGATAAAAGGCAAGGGAAGGTCAGTCTGACAAACCACATATGTCAAAAGAGCATACACAAGAGGGAACTCGGCCCTTTTGAATGAGTCGAGGCCCAGAGAGAGGAAGTAGCCTGAGGGAGGCCAGGCCGGAGGCAGAGCCGCTGGCCCCAGTCTCTCTGGCCCCAGCCTGCTCGCTCTCTGTTCGGTCCTGCCTCCTCTCCATGCCTCCTCCCACCTGAAGCCTTCCTTCCAGGAACTCTCCCTGCCTCGGCCGGCTCGCTGGGCGACCCATGCTCTGCCGGACTTCAATCCAATGGAAGCTGGCTGAGGAGGAGTCTGTGTTTACCAGGGCCTGTCACCTTGGGAAAAATCATGCTTCATAGAACCACGTAAAATGCCTCTAGTGGAAAAACCCCAAATGTCCAATAAAACGGGGTGCATCTCCACCACGGAAATAAAAAGGAATGAAGTGCTGGCATGTGGCACGATGTGGGTGAGCCTTGAGAACATGAGGTAAGTGATAGTCACCAAACATAAAAAGACCACATACTCTATCATCCCACTTATAGGACAGGCCCAGAATAGGCAAATCCATAGAGACAGGAAGTGCATTAGTGGTTGTCTAGAGCTGGTGAGAGCAGCGTGGGGGGGGTCAGGGATCGGGGAGGGAGGCTCTGGGTGAGGGCTAAGGGTGGGGGCTTCTTTCCAGGGTGATGAAAATGTTCTGGAATTAGACAGATGTGATGATCGCTCAACCTTGTGAAATACCCTCATATACACGTTCGACGGTGAACTGATGGCATGTGAATTAGGCCCAGGCTGTGAGGCCCTTCCTGGAGCTGAAGCCTTCCCTCCTCTCACGTCATTTTTGGGAAGGAAACACGAGATTAAGTGCACAGAGGCACTGGGTCAACGGCAAGGCAGCTGTGATGGGAGGGCAGATGTCTCTGTGGACAGGACAGAAGCTGCTAGGACTGCAGCCTGACTTCCAGGTTCTTCTCGGCGTGCAGAGGAGGCACTGTTAGAATCTTCTGTCTGTAGCCAAGATAACTCATCGGCAGCCACTCTGAGAATGTCCCTGCCAGTCCCAGCAAAACAGGACAAAGAGCTCCCCGGCCGATGGGACAGACAGGGCCGCGTAAGCCAAATACAGGCCCCCCAGTCTCTGTCTCTCACAGTCACACACACACTCTTCCGTGCTCTCCTCAACTTCCCCCGCAGAGAAGGGGCCACTTCCTGGGCCGGTGGGGCTCCTCCCCCTCCAGCCTCCTCTCCCTTTTCCAGACAGTGCCGGGTCTCCTCCTCCAGCCGCTCCACTCAGCCTGGCCATGGAGGGGAGTTTCCACCGGAGGCCTGGACTGGTTCTCCAAGAGAAGGTGAGCATGGGGAGAGACAAGAGCCTCAGCCCCACGGCTGCAGCAGTGACCTGTTCAGAGGGCCCAGGCCCAGCCTGGCACCGCCTAGGAGGCTCAGAGGACCGATTCCCCAACCGACCCCGGAACAAGCCACACACCCAGGCCGGGCCACACACAGGCCCACAGAAACCCTGCAGGGCAACCATGCATCCCCAGAATGCATCTGTGCAGCCAAGGAAACCCCAGCATCGGCCTCTGCCTCAGGGCCAGATGCATGTAAACATGCAACCCCCCGCTCCCCCCAGTGATAGGACAAGGAAAGACCCAGGCTGGGCTGCACACAATGACATGACACACGGTCATTGCCACGGGGACACGGGCACAGCCACTGACCCCGGGAGCGTGCCGTCAGGGGGACAATCTCACACAGTCACAGGGCGCCCGGCGGCCTCTCGCACAGCATCACACGGGCAGTTTCCGGAACACAGGCCACAGTCACAGGCAGCGAAAGTCACACACACACACAGCCTCACAGGCACATGGCCAGGCGCTCAGGGGAAGGGCCGAGACCAGCCACGGGGTCACACATCTCAGAACCCGCCTCTCACACAGTCGCCCCATTAGGTGTCCCAGGCCCACATCCGGCCTCCTGCACAGTCACCCCCAGGCTGGGGTCACACACAGACAGCTTCACTGCACAATCAGCCCCAGTCGGGGTGACATCCACACATACAGTCACCCCCAGGCTCGGGTCACGTCACACACAGTGTCTGCACAGTCACCCCCAGGCTGGGGTCACACACCCACAGCTTCACTGCACAGCCAGCCCAGTCGGGGTGATACCCGCACATACAGTCACCCATCCACATACACAGTCACCCTGAGACGGGAGTCACACCCCAAACACAGTCACCCTCAGGTCTTGCAGTCACCCTCAGACGGGGCCACAACTTCACACAGTTCCGCGCACACAGTTACACAGACACACACACACAGACACACACATAGACATAGACACACACAGACACACACAGTTACACACACACACACATAGACACACACAGACACACATATAGACATAGACACACACAGACAGACACACACACACACAGAGACACACATAGACATACATACACACACACACACACACACACACACACACACACACACACACACACACGCCCTGCGTCCGGCCGCCCCGGCGGGTCGCACAGCGCCCCCCGCCGCAGGCCCGGCGCTCGCCGGCCGGGAGCCCTCCGCCCGCACTCGCGGCCCAGGCCCGGCGCGGCGGCCCGGGCTCACCTCGCTGTTGCTGGCGGAGGAGGCGGCGCTGGGCGTCGGCGAGCGCTGCAGGGTCACCAGGGCCATGGCTGCGGCGCGGCGCGCGGGGCCGCCGAGGCCTCGGGCTAAGCCGCCGCCGCCCGGGCCGGGCCCGGGGCGCTCCTGGAGCCGCGCACCGGCGGCCGGGCCGAGCCGCGCCGGGCCGGGCCCGCCCCTCCCCGTCCGCGTCCCCCGCCCCGCCCCCGCCTTCCGCCTCCCCCGCCGGCGCGCGCCGGCCGGAGCGGGGGCGGGCGGGGCGGGGCGTGGGGCGGCGCGCGTGCGCGTGCGCGTGGGGCGGGGCGCGTGCGCGGTGCGCGGCGCGCGGGAGCCACGGCGACGGGGAGGCCCCGGCTGGCCCGCCGATCACGTTCCCCGCGCGCCCAGCACACGCGCACGCGCACGCGCACGCGCACGCGCACGCTCGCCCGGCCCCCTGGACATCAAGTCCGGCTCCAGAGGCCCGGGGGCTGCACGGGCGGGGAAACTGAGGCCAGGCGGCCAGCAAAGCCGAGACTAACCCGGAGAGGGTTGGGAGGCAAAGAATGAAAGCCTCCTGGATCCCTGCCCAGCACCCCACAGGCAGTCTTTGCAGAAATTCATTCATTCATTCATTCATTCATTCGTTCATTCCACAGGCAGTCTTTGCAGAAATTCATTCATTCATTCGTTCGTTCATTCATTCATTCCAGAAATAAATTCATTCATTCGTTCATTCATTCATTCGAAACATCGATTTGTTGTTCTACCTGAATGGATCGTGGGGCAGGGGAGCGAAGGGAGGCCAACACCTAGGCTGCTGTTGTCACCCTGGGAAGAGGTAGCCATTCATTCCTTGATGAACCATTGACTGAGCACCTCCCGTAAGGCGCGGCGTGCTGAACCGTGAGCAAAATAGATTAGGACCACCCTCGGGGATTTCACAAAAGTGCGTCAGTCACCTTGTAGGGGCCCTTCCTTACCTGGAGCTTCGCTTTCCCTGTTGCCCGCAGCCCGAAAATATTAAGTGGAAGGTTTCAGAGATGAACAATTCATCATAAGCTTTAAATTGTACGCCCGTCTGAGTATCGGGATGAAATCTCAAGCTGCCCCGCGCGGTCCTGCCAGGACATGAATCATCCCTTTGTCCAGAGTCGCTCCCGGCCTGTTGGTCACTTAGTAGCCGGTTATCAGATCAACGGCTTCAGTATCACAGTGCTACTGTTTGAGTGACCCTTATTTTACTTAATAAGGGCCCTGAAGTGCTAGGATAGCGATGACCACACTTCGGACGTGCCAAAGAGAAGCCTGAAAACACTTCCTTTAAGGGACAAGGTGAAGGAAAGAAAGAAAATTGTACGCTGAGGTTGCTAAGACCTAGGGCAGTGGTCGGCAAACCGCGGCTCGCGAGCCACATGCAGCTCTTTGGCCCCTTGAGTGTGGCTCTTCCACAAAATACTGCTGGGACAGTCTATGTTGAAGAAGTGGCATTAGAAGAAGTTTAAGTTTTTAAAAATGTGGCTCTCCAAAGAAATGTCAATCGTTATACTGTTGATATTTGGCTCTGTTGACTAATGAGTTTGCCGACCACCGACTAGAGTTAAGAACGGCTCTTCCATCCATGGGATTGTGAAGCAGGAATAAGAAATTTGTGCTAGTTTCGTTGTCGCACTTCAAACTGCAAAAATTATAGCCACAGAGTGTGGTAAGTGCTTAAAAAAGATGGAAAGACATTAAATTTGAGGAGGTGGGGCATGAACAGAAAAAATGTGGTGCCAGCAAGCACTGACCCCCAAGTAAGACTGACCCCCAAGCAAGAGACCCCTCAAATGAGTAAACAACAAACTATTCACTGCAAGTAAGAGATGGTTTTACACAGATTCAGGCTTGAATGTTATCATCTCACATCATTACAAGAAAGATAAGTACAATTATATATATATATATATATATATATATATATATAAATTTTTAAAAATATATTTTATTGATTTTTCACAGAAAGGAAGAAAGAGGGATAGAGAGTTAGAAACATCGATGAGAGAGAGTCATCGACCAGCTGCCTCTTGCATACCCCCTACTGGGGATGTGCCCGCAACCAAGGTACATGCCCTTGACCCGAATTGAACCTGGGACCTTCCAGTCTGCAGGCTGACACTCTATCCACTGAGCCAAACCGGTTTTGGCAATAAGATACATTGAGAGAGCAAGAGAGAGACCACATTCACACATCTTTTATTACAGTATACTATGATAATTATTCTATTTTATTATTAGTTATTGTTGTTAATCTCTTACTGTGCCTAATATATAAATTAAACTTTATCATAGGTATGTAGATGCAGGAAGAAACATAGCATAAAAAAGATTTGGTGCTATTCAGTTCCAGACATTCACTGGGGGTCTTGGAACTTATTCCCTATAGATAAAGGGGTGACTACTATACGAGGCACATTTTCAAAATTATTTTGCTAATATTTTTAAGTGAATCCTTCTATGTGTCTAGAAACCCAGGGTCAACTGAGCATAAGTGAATCGGGAAATTTTGGGTAGAAATAAGTGATAAAGATTTATTCAAGGGCCTTAGGGTTTGCAAACTGGAAACACAGCTAGGCAAAAACCCAGAAACATTCCAAAGAGGAAAGTTAAAACTTCTTATAATGAAAAGTACATTCTTGAGAAGACTCAGTCCTGCATTCTTAGCCCTAGGATCGGTCCAGCACCATTATCAGTCAGAGGATAGGCAGTTTGGGTGCCAGATGGTCTGGATACGTGAGCACTTTGGTGGGTGACCACAGGGTAATCTGGAGGTCTGATGTATATCCAGGCATTGGCCCAAGACTGCAAAGTTCATAAGTTCAGGTTCCCAGGCTAGCTAAAACAAATAGAGAATCATTTCCTCACACTTTAACCTAACTTGATTTCATCATTTAGCAGCTTGACTGTAGTGACTCCATTTTATTTCTTCTACTGGCTCCTCACCAGTCAATTCTTTGGGGGCAGCGAGGTCAGGAAAGCCTTTCCTGAGAACCACTGGCAAGCATTAGGGGGCGCTTTAGAAAGCTCTGGCTGCTGCAGAGAATGGATTGTGGGGCAGGGGCAGGGAGGGAGACCAACACAGAGGCTGCTGTTGTCATCCTGGGAAGAGGTGGCCAGTATAGGGACACTGACTAAGATACCAAGGAGAATCAGTCAAGGTACTGGCTTGACTCGGTAATAGAAAGCTTTTCTTTCATCCCAAATCCCTTCGTTCCCCCACCTCAGTCTCCACGTGCACATTGCACAAACACCCCCACATGCAGTGGTCCAATCCTCCTCCCCAACTTAGCAAACTGGCTCCACCATCCTTCTCACGAATCAACCAGAAACCTAGGCAGCTCAGTTTGCCTCTATTAAGAACAGCAAGTTGCCTGTCCAGCATTGCTCAGTGGTTGAGCGTTGACCTATGAACCAGAAGGTCACGGTTCAATTCCTGGTCAAGGCACATGCCCAGGTGGCCGGGTGCAGGAGGCATCCATGAGTCTCTCTCATCATTGATGTTTCTAACTCTCCCTTGCCCTTCCTCTCTGAAATTAATTTAAAAAATATATATATATATATATATATATAATTTTATTTTTTTTACAAAAAGAACAGCAAATGATTTGCTGTCTGCTGGGCCGTTATGCAGAGTAATTTGCCAGGGTGTTGAGGGATGTGGCTTATTAACATCTAAATGTCTTCCGTGCATGCTCCAGGGTCGCCTCCTACAGGGAGATCAGATATCCCTTATCTGTGCTCCTGCAGTCCCTGTGTCTGTTCCTGGGTTAGGCCTCTTTCTTTATTTCCTGTCACACTGTTCTGATTCTTATTTCGTGGATGAAGAAATTGATGCCTGGAGTGGTTAAGTCACACCTCCAAGGTAACTTAGCTAGGGAGTGATGAAGCTGGGGTTTGAACCCAAGTTTTTCTACTTTAGAATTCAAGCGAAAGACAGGGTTTCTTCCAGTACAGCCTGGGGGCGGGGGTGGGGGGGTGGGGAAGGAAGCGGGAATAGAGTCAAACCGTGGAAGCCATCAGTATAATATATGCAAAATGCAGTATATTTAAATGAATTAATATTGGTAAAGTTCTTAGAACAAGCCAGGCACAGATGTAAATAAATGAAATAGGATATCCAGTCGTAAAAAAGGGCTTGAGTTCTCTGGCTGGTTTGGCTCAGTGGAAAGAGCGTCAGCCTATGGACTGAATGGTCCCAGATTCGATTCAGATCAGGGGCATGTACCTTGGTTGCAGGCACATCCCCAGTGGGAGGTGTGCAGGAGGCAGCTGATCAATGTTTCTAACTCTCTTTCCCTCTTTCTTCCTCTTTGTAAAAAATTAATAAAATTTCTTTTTTAAAAAAGGGTGCGGGGGCTTGAGAGCCCTAAATGGTTTGCTCAGTGCTTCGAGCGTCGACCCCCGACTGAAGAGTCCCGGGTTTGGTTCCTGTCAAGAGCAGACTCCATCCCTGGGGCGTGTGAGAGAGGCAACCAATGATGTGTCTCTCCCACATCAATGTTTCTCGCTGTCTCTCCCTTCTCCTCTGTCTACAAATCAATAGAAAAACACATCCTCAGGTGAGAATGAACAAACAGTGGAGAAAAGCAGGCTAAGGCGAGAGGGTGAGGAGGGGGCTGTTTAGGCAAGTGGCCAGGGAGCCTCTGGGCCAGGTGACATCGGAGCAGAGGGATCACACAGACACCCCCACCAGGTTGATGTCAAGACGCTGGAATCTGCCAGCTTCAAACTGGCCTTCCGAGTTAGGAATAAGGGCAGGCACTTCCTTTGCCTGAGGGCTTACTTCCTTCTTTTGTGAAGGGGAACTCCTGTGCCTAAAAGGTTTGCTGGAGCCTTATTTCATGGCTTGGTTATGAGCTGAAGTTCTAACCCCCAGGACCTGTGAAGGTGACCTTATTTGGAAGTAAGGTCTGGGCAGATGTCATCATGGAGTTGAGATGAGGTCATTAGGGCGGGCCCCAGTCCAATATGACTATGTCCTCACCAAAAGGGGGAGTTTGGACGCAAAGACAGAGACACAGGGTCATCACCAT